GGCTGATATTTGTTACTTAATAGAAACTGCTTATTAGAGTTAAATCCATTAGTACTAGACCTTTTAGTACTGTTTTAACTTCTTGAAAGTCATTATTAGTCACTCTATTTTTCACATGCAAAAGTTTTAATTTACTTTTAAATTCTGCTGTCATTTCCCACAGTTTACACTTCTCTTTATCTATAGGTTCTACCCTATTAAAGCAGCACTGCTAATATTCCAGGTGCTCCAAGTTAACATGCATGGGTGTTTTATCAAATGTGCATCATCTTTGTTTATGAGATGACATGTTTCTCCTACTACTACTCTCCTTCCAAGATGGCAAGGCTTAACACAAGTGTATAGGTATCCACATTCTGTCCAAAAGGATGTTAATTAACTACAGAAGACTTGCATACAAATTTTGAGAACATTCCCTGAATATAGCCAAACAAAAATTTATTTTCTATATAATGTTATGAAAAGGTACTATACATCCTATGCTATACATCAAGTACAGGTACATCCTTAAGATTATCAGGATGTTTGGGGAAGTTGATTTTCAATGATTGGTTGCTTTGTTCCTTGGACTGATAGTTTTATAACACCCAGAGATTTGCCAGACTTGTCTACACATTAATGTACAATATTAGATGTATCTTGAATAGTAAAAGTGGTGCTCTAACACAGTCAAAAGTTGCATTTGGACAATAAAACATATAGACAGAAAGAAACCATATATACATAAACTCAACAACTCACACATTCATGTGAACATACACACACAAAAGCAACTCATACATATGCTTAGCTCACACTGATATTCACACAGTATGCCCAGCAGTAGTAGCAAATCGTATCATTTGTTCTTAGTTAAACTACTTTCTTCCTGACTATTTTTATGATCTGTTTGATGTCAAGTGATTCTAACAAGTTATTCGTTATGCACAAAAGTGCCAGTAAATTTAGCCTATCTTGGCACATTGTTGATTCAAAATATATTCTGTTCATTATCCTTTTTAGTGTCAAGAATGATCTTTCTCCTGAGTAATTTCCTGACATGAGGTACAGGTACATCCTTAAGATTATCAGGACGTCTGGAGAAGTTGATTTCAAAGATTGGTTGCATATAATTCAAAGCATACTTTGTTCTTTAGATTCTGATAGTTTTATAATGAACCATGCCTTGCAGAGGATGGCAAATTAAACAATTTCTTCCTCTCTGCAACTCTCCAAGTCTGTAGGATACATACTAATAAGCTCTTTAATGACATTGTGGAGGTATTCTGTAGGCATGGTTTGTAGAAATCCAAATTTTCAACTGACATTTTTATATGACAATATTCTGTTGTCTAATGCAAATGACAGTTTATTGTTAAGAATGTTTGAACTTTATATTGAGTAGAGGGTGAAAAATTACTGTTCTCAGCATCCCCTTCATCCCATCATGTATTTCTCTTCCTTTTCCTTGATCTTATATGTCTCACATCCTAGAAACTGTTTACCTTTTTCTTCATATTTGGGAAATGTATCTTGTAAATCCTGCATGAATGTCTTGAGAGATTTTAGCAGAAAAGAAGCTGTACTGACATACATCTGAGAGTTTTGTAATGAATGACTTGTCTTGTGAGACCTGTCCAGGATAATGCTCCATAATTCTGTCATTATATCTGTTTATAGCTGTTCCAATTGTAGCATAAGGTTTCTTGACTCTAAGCACACTTGAGGCTTTTCAGAGTCATCATTTTTAATGCTTGCATTGTGTCTGAGTGGATGCTCCATCTTGTAACCTCTTTATCATCAGAAACCCTAGTGTTTCAAGTACATCGTGTAGGTGCTTCCACAGGTGGGGTGAAGCTGAGAAAACACATAAAGCTCCTGTGTAAAAGGTAAAGAATAAAGAAAGTTCAGTACAGCAGTTCACAGCACATTGTCCAACCAAACTGAGCACAGCATTAAACATAGACTGCTAGGGGGTTATTCTCTTTAATCAAGGCTTGCATATTTGTTCATGTTGTCATAAGATTGCCCACAGAAACCTTGAATTCTATATCATTCTTTTCAAGGAGGTTAATGAGAACTCTAGCAACTTCTCCTGTGTGATTGCTTATCAGTAAGAATGTGGCAAATCTCTCTACAAGGCCATCATATAGAACATATCTAAAGATTATTGTCAGTTAATCCATGTGGTATATGTCTGGAGTAGAATCAACAGACACTGAGCAATGCTTGGATGTTTTGGTTTTTTTGGATAACAGTGGTTTGCTGCATGTGGCAAATCTCTCTACAAGGCCATCATATAGAACATATCTAAAGATTATTGTCAGTTAATCCATGTGGTATATGTCTGGAGTAAAATCAACAGACACTGAGCAATGCTTGGATGTTTTGGTTTTTTAAATAACAGTGGTTTGCTGCATGTGGCAAATCTCTCTACAAGGCCATCATATAGAACATATCTAAAGATTATT